GTAAGAAGCAACTAAGTCTGTCTGGAGGGTCAAGAAGTTGGGAAGTTACCATATGATTGCTTTTATTGTCTTGTTAACCTAAAAATAAAAGACCAAAGTGAGAGGCAACAAGCATTTATTTGAGATCCAAAAAACTGCTATTCTGGAAGGACTGATTCAGGCAGAAACCCAAATAGTGTTTCGATTAGGAGGCAAAGACAAGGGTTATTTATGAGAAAGTGAAGGGGAACAATTACAATTACATCAATGAAGGAAGGCATTTCTGTAAGTGCAGATAAGCTAACACAGTGATGTCAACGCTAAAGAATGTTTTTAATGTTCAGTCCATTTCCAGCTTCTACAGGCTGCCTGCATTCCTTGGATCAAGGCCCCTCTCAGTAAATGCATGACTGACCGCTGCTTTTACTGTCACATCTCATCCTCTCTGACTCTCCTGCCTCCCCCTGGTTAATCCAGATAATCTCCCCATTATAAAATCCTTAATCACATCTGCAAAGCCCCCTTCGCCTTGTAAAGTGACATGTTCACAGGTGCTAGGAATTAGGACACAGAGCACAGAGAGAGCTGGTACCAATTCAAAGTAAAGATATACCAAGTAGCCCTGGTCCGGTAGCTCCACTGGTTATAGCATCATACCAATATATGTCAAGGTTGTGGGTTTGATCCCCAGTCAGAGCACATACAAGAAGCAACCAAAGCAGCCAACGAATGCATAAATAAATGGAACAAAACGATGTTTTTCTCTCCCTTCCTCTCTCTCTTTAAAATTAATAAAATTCTTAAAGGATACAGCAAGCTGAGCTGCCTGCCATACACGGTGAGGAGAAACAGAAGGTGTTCCTGCTGAGCTAGCAACTAAGCTGGTGATAGCCAGTGACAGCCAGTCCTAGAATGAACTGGAGAGAACAAACATCTCTGGAAGTTCTGCTGCTCTCGATTAATGGGCAGTACTTTAAGAGAATCTTAAATATGGCAACTAAGTGGCAGGACCATTAGACAAATCTGGATCTCTCTGACTCCCCTGTGTATTCTTATAATCCCAATGACAAACTGCCTCACATTCACCTTAAATCCAGGCTGGAAATTTTCTCTAAGTCAAACCAAGGCCCTGATATAACAGAGCTATGTCCCCCACTCAGACCAGCTGGATCAAAAAAGGAGCTGATGACAAGGGCCAGAGCAGAACAGAAAGTAGGCTCGATGCCCAGGCTAAATGCTTTCACGTTTGTCTTTAGGAAAAGGAACTGCAAGTATGTGAACGTCACGGTGCATCTTGAAGAGATTGCTTTATAAAACTAAGCCTGGGTTAACACATGCAGCTCTGAGTTGATTCAGTCTCAATGAACACGTCTTCATGAAGAACTGTTTTTATTTTCTAGAGATCTGTTTACAGACCCTACCTGCGAAGTGAAGAAATTATGGTGCCCAGTGTTCCAAATCAAGTCAGCTGTACCCCTTAGAGAGGAGTTTGCCTTAACAAGGTTTATGTCTGTCTAGCTGTTTCTGTTTTACACACAGGTAACATGTGCATCAATGCATTTGCTACATGAACCTCCCAGTTATAAATTAATAAAATTCATATTTTTTCCATTTGATTTTTTTAGGCAGTAAATTCCCTTTCCCTAGAATTCCTGAGACTATGTGAAAAAGAGAGAAGGTTCCAGTAATGGCCTGCACATTTTAGGCATTCATTAAATAATTGTTGAAGCACCCATGAGCCCATACACAAAGGCCAAAATAACTACTCTCTTGCCACAAGGTGAACCTGATAAGTTACTTATTGTAAAACACCATTTAAGTCCTCTCAACACACATTAATATGCAAATTGCATAGAAAGAGAGAATTCCTTAGTATCCTAAGTATGCAGAGCCTTTTTATCTCATTCCAGTCAGGATATTACAGTGGTTGCTAAGTCTTGTAGACATGAAGACTTGAATTTGAATTCTGGTCCTAATACTTGATGGCTATGTGACCTTGGGGAAGTTGCTTAACCTTTTTAGCTTCTGTTTCTTCATCTCTAATGGTAAAATAATAAAATCAAACTTGTACAGGTGTTCTGAGCATGCCATGACAACGTATGGAAAATCTTAAATAGTGCCTAATGCACTAATGACAATGATGGTGATGGGTAATGATGATGAACCATCTAGAATCTGGACTCTAGGTCCTCCAGGGCAGACAAGTTCCCTGCCACGGAGGTCCATCAGTCCTAGGGACATGTTCCTTAGGCATGTCGCTCTCTAATTCTCTAAGGTCGCTGCCTATCTTCTCAGGCAACATGCAGTAAATCTCTGAGGTAGACCTAAAACCCTCCCTGACCCTTCAGCCACTGCCAGTGCAGCTCACTTGCTTATATTTTGCACGCTTATACTTTGACCATAACTGGCTGACTAGCAGTGCTGCAGGTAACCCAGTCCCACCCCCACGAGTGTTTGGGGCTTAGCCCCAGGCATGATCCTTTGCTAATGGAAGGGAGAGTTTAGGACTTTTCACTGACAAATGAGCCATCTCTTCTTTCCTGTTATCTTCATTCCCTTTTATCCCTAGCACTCCTTCTCCCACTTTCTCTTTTTATTTGCCTCTAAAGTAGACCTAAGTGGTCCTTCTTAGAGCCTCAAAGTCTTCTCTGTGTAGATCTTAATTAGAATATAGGTTGTTACTCAAGCATTTCCCATTAATAAATTTTGGGTGCTGAAAGAGAGCAAAGCAATACACAAAATCCTATCGAATGGACACTAATGCACATTTATGGAATTCATTACTCTATTTATAAGGCAAATATTTCTTATCATGTCCTGTGTCATTCCAACAAAGGGTATTCTTTAAATTCTTATTTACCTTAAGTAACTATGGGATATTTACATCAAGTAACCATGGGATATGCAGGGCTGCTCCTACTAATATAGAGAGAAGACAGGGAAATATGCATTTGGGTTTATCACCAACTTCCCTAGAAACTTAAAGTTGGGACCTGGGTGTTGCCCTTCCAGAGTGACAAGCCTGACTGAGCTTTTCCTGAGAGAAATCCTAAATTCTGCCTCAGTACCCACGGGAAGCGAGTCAGGGATGGACTGGTGTGTGCCCACCCAGACGCGCTCTGTCCGTCCTCCAGAACTGTGGGCTGTGACAAAAGGGTCCCTGGGAAGAAGGGCAAGTTTTCACAGCCTATTCTCACACCGTCCCACAATTAAAAGGAACATAAGATAATCAGGCATTTGAACAGGCGAAGACTACGCAATGTTTACAAACCACCTCTATTTTAACTCGGTTCACCAGAAAAAAATTCAGAAGACAGAAAATAATTTTTTCATGTGATTTACACAGATGATCAAAAAAATTACTTAAGAGCTTTCCCCTTCTAAGTGTAATTTATTTTCTCCTAAAACACTTGTATTATAAACACTATCACAAATGACAAACTTTAGGAATAAAGGTAAGAAAAAAATGCTTTTGGTCTTAATACAACCCCTAGAAAACTTTGAATAAACTATCGATACTAACTGCTAATTCTTTTGTAATGACACAGGCCATTGTTTGAAATTCTCTAGCTTTTCACATTTTTTTCCCCTTTGGAAAGGGGGGAAAAAAAGCTAAGACAGATAAGGTCTATATAATTTTAGCAAGACAGTCAGTCTTTCCAGGCAAGGTCTGACATACGAGATAAGATCAGAAAACTGTGTATTTTTTTCTGCTGGGAAAAATGTTATTTCAAAAATATGAATGTAATGCAAGGTATCTTCTACAGCCTTCAATCTAATCTTTCAGTATAGATTTACAGTTCTGCTACACTGATGTATGGCCTGTATGGGACAGAATTCAGTGGACTGTGAACATGCCAGTCCCTTTCTTTGAAGTGTGCATTCATGACTGCTCGCCTTTAGAAAACCATTCCTTTCTGTGGAAAGCTAACCAACACACCCAATTTTTTATTCCTATTTTGTGAAATCCCCCTATGAAAGAGAAAGGCTATCGAACTAGCTCAAGAAAAATTACAACTTATCACCATCACTAGCATTCCATTTGCCTGCCTCCTCTCATCCCAGCACATTCCTGGGACCTGGGCAGGGAAACACCACTCAGCAATCATGTCCCTCACTGACTAGACCCCAGATGACCCAGTGGAGGCTGGGAGAACTGATGAAGGAAGAAGAGGAAAACTATTCCAACAGGAGGTAAGCAGCATGAAAAATAAAAGGTAAGTCAAACAGGGTATTTTTAAGGTGAGCACAAGCATTTTGCATAATAAGACTGTACCCCTCTGAGGTTAAGATTTTTCTTAGGCTAAAACAAAAGTCACTAATGAATATATTCTTGTACCTCAAAATCATGACCTCCAAAGTCTTTCCTGTCTATCACCTAAGAAACAGCTTCTCAGCCTATAACCAAATAGAATCAACATAACCAATGTGGTGCTTCTCAGGAACTCTCTAACCATCACCCAACAGTCAGGAAGAAGTTCTGAATTAAACCCCTGTGAACAAAAGCTTGGTTACCTTTATTACTCTTACTCCATCAAGCTCATGAATGAACACCCCCAGTTATTTTATTTTATAATTGCTCGTCCAACTTCTGAAACTCGGATAGCCATCTTTTTACACTGTATATCTTTCTTCTCTTTAACCATTCGCTTTCTTAAAAGGTAATAATATCTGTCAATTCAAGAGACCAGCCACTTGCCTCCTAACACATTAAATGGTTTATTTAGTTCTCTTAAGAGCACAAATGGGTAAGCACTCTCTACGGTATGGTTGCAAAGGTGGAAACCAGCTAAGCATCTGGAAAGAGGAGTACACACGAGTCATGAATCCTGCAACTCCGTAGACTTCTGGCAAAAGGAAAAAAATGCAAAGAAACTAGCCAGACGAAACATGTTTAAGGTTTTCAAAGCCACTTTCATTTACAAGGACCCTAAGCACCTAAAACCACAGCGGGAAAGGCCAGAGATAGAGTGAAATTTATACCCAGAAACATTTAATACGAAGGAAGTCATTGTACTCACTGTCTGATGGCTTCTGTCACAGTAACGCAGCCCGAAATAATCGATCTCCACCAGGTTTATGTGACGGAATACGTGGTCAAGGACGACAGAACCTTTCGTTGACTTCTGCAAAAATAATTCACAGATTTATTTTTATTTTTAACAAGGTGTTTTGTCCTCCTCAGTGGGACACAGTCAGCTCTCATCTTTTATTAGCTTTGTTCACAACAGGAGCCATTTTATTAACCCACAGTTCCCTCTATAAATTTTGCCTCAGTTACAAAGAAAAAAGGGGGTTTTAAGTAAAGCATGTGACAGGAATTGCCTTGGAAAACAATCTTAAAATTGTCGTGGGTTTTATATTAACATAAACTTATTTTCTTATGGAACAGTAAATTCTCTTTAGAACAAAATTCTTTTAATAAAGAATCTTTTATATAAACAGCATCTAGTCAATTCACCAAAAAACACTTATTTTGTTAAAATCCCACAACACTTCCACTTTGGAAAGCAATTTTCACCTAGTGTTACTCTTACAACACAGAAGATATATAAAATTTAAATAACAATAGCCAAAGCTTCTATTTTCAACCCTCAACTAATAAATCCACAGATTAAAGATGTCAAATTTAATGTTCTGAAAAGCCCCGCCAAAAATATTTTGCTGTATCTCTTTTACATAAGCAAAAACAAAGAAAACATTCCCTTTGGCTGCTTTGTAAATGCTGGCACCTATCTAGAAATCTAACCTCTTCTCCCTCTCCCACTACATACACAGATTCTTTAAATTAAGATTCTTATCATCTCATAGATTAAATGCCAATTATTCACACATGGAGATAAACATTTAATCAGCAAGCACTATTCCACATACCACATTAATCTAGATAATAATCCATTTCCATGGCGTACATACAGATACAAGTTTCCTTTCTTTTGCCCCATCACTGGCAGAGATAACAGGATAAAAAAAAAAAAAAAAAAAAAAAATCCCCAAGAAATCATACATTGTGTTAATGAAGTAGGGCTTTGTTCAGTTGCATTTTCTCCCAGAGACTGAAGGTTGCATGCTCACGCCCATAGGGTGAGTGCTCAATATTACACTGCTTTTAGAAAATGAATTTGTAACATAAGGAAAATGTTAGGATGAAATGTATAATAAAATGGGTGATAAAAGCACACAATGGGAGAAAATAGTTCTCATTTCAAATCCCACAGGTATTTTATTTTCTTCCAACTTATCCTGGTAAAACTTAACTGGTCCCTTTTCAAAATCCATTAGATTTACAAACAAAAAGCACTTCCATGATGGCTCTTCAGGCCGCTGGCATAGTAACAACGTCACATCTAATAAATGTGTCTTTGTGCTCAGGTATCTATGTCTTCTTCAGCTAGGGTAAAAATCTGGAAATTACTCATTTGAATACTTATGCATACTTAAAATCACAATGGGCACTGCCAAAAACACCATTACAATTCATTCAATGACAGTCTGTTTTCCTACACCTTCGCCAAGATTTGGATTGAGCAAAATTTTTCCAATCCAATTGCGTTTACTAATCAATTGCATTTCCTAGTATTTGGGTTAGGCATTCTGTAACCCAAAGCTTATGAGCAAATTCTAGTATGTACTTCCGATACAATTTTACTTAGTATATTTAGCTCTTCACTCAATCCAGAAGTTATTTTTGTGCTTGTGATAAGGGCCTAACTTTGTTTCCAAGTGGATAGACAACTGCACCATGTTTTACCAGAAAGTCCCTCATTTCTTTGGATTTGAAACAACTTTATCATCTACCAAATGAACCCTCGTTCAATCCCATGGATTATTCCTGGACCAACCCTCCAAAATTTTAATGAGTTTAGTTTAATTGTTGATATCCATCATTCTTTTTCAAATTGTCTTTGCCAATTCTTAGACCTTTTATTCTACTAAAGGAAGCTTAGAACCAGCTTGTCAATTTAATAAACAATTCTGTTGGGAATCTGATGAATTAAATTTAATTGACAGACTTGGAGGGGATGGTATGATATTTACAAGTGAAACTTAGATGGTTTTCTTTTATATCCTTCAAGGAAGTTTTATACTTTTTTTCATTAGGTCTTATAGAATTCTACCTGGGCTTTGGGGCAGGCAGAATTTATAAAATTCCCCCACTAATTCCTGAGCCATGTTTCCCAGCATTCTCAAAGCAGTAAATAGGAACAGCCAGGCAATCCACCAGCCTCCTTTCCCTTGCCCTGTGAGAATAGTGAACATGTAGGTTTGGGCCCAAGAACCATGCCAGGGTCCCAAGTAAAAATCCTGAGTAAGAGTACAGGAAATTTAAATTGCATACTATAAATATCATCATGAATACAAATAGTTTATAATAGGAATGTGAGTGCATCAAGCAGAATTCCTGGTTGCAAACAGTAACAGTTGACTCTTGTTAAGTAACCATGAAAGGAATTTACTGGAAAGACACTGTTGTCTTGTAGTTCTATAGACATCACCTGGATGGTTGCCTGCATCTTCTCCTAATCCCAAAACATGCAGAGCCACTAAATTTGGAGCAATCCTTAATCCGTCACTACCTCCTTCCATAGTTCTGCTCATGTTCTGGAGTATGGTTTCACCTTCAATTGTTTCACATTTGCTTTTTGACTCAGGAATTTTTTTTAATAGTTTCTGGCTGGCTAAGATGAGCCTCTCTTATTTTCCAGGCTGCTGTGGAAAATGCACACATATCTTTCCTGTTACTTCAAAATATGTCTAGAAGGCTGGCATATGAGGCTAGTGTTCCATCTTGATCTAATCTCCTCTGGGTCCTTTCTGCTAGTCAGGCACAGACAGGAACAGAGTAACTAGAACAGGTAGAGCCACACAACCCCAACGTAATTCTCCTATCCAAGAAGGTAAAAAAGTGCTTCGTAAACAAAAGGAGAATGAATTATCCTTAAAACTACAGCACTGAAATGGGGACAGATTTAAATATATGTATGCATATATATTATATTTAAATTTAAATCTGCCCCCATTTCAGTGCTATAATTTTAAGGATAATATTATATATACATATATATTTAAATCTGCCCCATTTCACTGCTATAATTATATGTAAAGTTTTAAATCAACTTATATAAACCAATTTTTATATATAAACAAACAAATAAATAAATAATAAAGGTTATCTTTATGAAAAATATTTTATGCTTCTACTTTCACAAGAAATGTTAGCTTTTTCATACATACAATCTATTTATAAAGTATAAAAAAGATATTGCCCTAGCCAGTTTGGCTCAGTGATTAAGAGTGTCGACCCGCAGACTGAAGGGTCCTGGGTTCGATTCCAGCCAAGGGCACATACCTCAGTTGCATGCTCGATCCCCGGCCCTGGTCGGGGTGCGTGCAGGAAGCAACCAATCGATGTCTCTCTCTCACATTGATGTTTCTCTCTCTCTCCGTTCCACTCTCCCTGAAAAGCATTGGAAAAAATATCCTCAGGTGAGGTTTAAAAAAATAATAAAAAAGAAGATATAATATTCTACTCATGAAAAATATACACAAAAGCAAGCCTGGAAAACCAGTTTAGTAGTTTGGAAAGTATATAGAAATTGCAAAAATTTCATGCATGCAAGAAATCACCATTTTCCAAAACTATCATTTCATTCCAAAAATACCAGAACATAGCCTGTCGATCCTCTGTGACAGTTTTGCATTTATATAGAATCTGGTGCTGACAATTCTTTACAAATGCCACCCTTCAGCATATTTGTTAGCCTGTAAGGGGAAACCACAAAGAAAGCATGCATTGTTGTGCAACGACTCCAGAGCTGACCTACGAGAAAACACGATGTCTCATGATACCCTGCACAGCTTTCTCTACACAGACAGGCGAACCTCAGAAATACTACAGTTCTGTCGCTACTTCAAGCAAACACATGCACGAGAAGCTCTTAATTCTCATCTGTCATCCTGTAACATGACAAGACTCAGAAAGCATGGATGCTGGCAGCAAATTAGCTACCGGGTGGGGTGCGCATCACCAGCTCACATTTCTGCCAGTCCTGCCCTAACCGACCTCTTTCAATCACCCTCCCCCCTATTTAAACGCCATTATCATGCCTTCTGCTTGTTCACTTAAGGGTAATTTCATACTTCATGTGGGTTCCTCATAGGAACTGTCTATGGGCTATACTTTTCAGTTCAAGCTGAAAGTCTTAAGGTTTAAAAGAAATCATACTTGAGTAAGAAAATTAAGAACCGATAGAGAACTGACATAAGAACAGACCAGTTTCGGGATTACTAGAAAAGGACAAGTTAAGTACCATCACGGATATTCTAAAAGAATAGTGACTTCATTCATTCAAACATTAATTGAGTACCTATTGCATGCCAGCAAATGATTAATCTCTAGAAGATGGAAAAAGTACGCTAATAACAGAGGAGAGCAAGATGCGCCCAGAAGGTAATACAAAGAACCTCTATGGGGGAATCACTGATCTGCACGCAGAACCCTAAAGAAGCCCTGGGGCTAGAGTGACTAAAGCGTCTAAAAAATGAGACAGCAAAGGAGTTGGTTTTCATCAGGAGCTTTTTTGTACATCTGACTAGTTAGCATGCACACATTTTACTTGTGTAAAAATATTTTTAAAAAGCAAAAGTATGCCAAATGGAAACTAGTCATTACCTTTTTTGGCTCATGGAGGTAGTTGTTTTGTTGTGGATGCGGTTCATGCACTAAGAGGTTTGTTAAGTAAAACGCGCAGAGACAAGATAGGATTATGGTGTTGAGCTGTCAATTTGTTGACCATGTTTACATATAAACAACTCACACTCCCCATTTCCCCCCCAAAAAAGTCACTCTAAGACTTTTTAATCTGAATTCTTCCTGAGCCCTTTAAGCAGGCAGATACTATAGGCCATTAATACTAGTGTGGAGGCCATGTGCCCCCAGTTCCTTAAACACTGAGATAAAGGCTTCATTCTTAAGTCAGGTGGTTACTGTCATTGAAGTTTAAAGAAAACTTGTCTCTTAAACTTCTTTCAATACTTGGCAAAAGACAGACATGAATGTGATTGTATTTAATACCATTCCAGTTCTTTCTGACCATTTCTAAAAAAAAAAACTCTACCAAAATGA